TCGAGACTTAAACAAGGCGACTGTACCAAGGTATTTTCTTTTTTTAAAATTCTTGTTCATTGATTCTGTAAAATATCATTGGTGCAAAATTTTTATATTCATTCGTGACTGTCTAAACCAGTTATGGGAAAACAGATTTCTCAAATATATGTGAAGAAACGCTACGAAAAGGAAGGATGCTTGTTAAAATAGTGATAATCAGTTTCATATTCAGATAATGATTAGGAATATACCGTTCCAAGCGAATCGAAAAGAAGTGAAGCAATTGTTCGCTACATTTGGTGAACTGAGGGCATTTCGAATACCGAAAAAAGTTCGTCGTTGATATTATTGTTTAATTGGTTTTTGAAAAATGCATCNTCATCCATCATCGGATGGGTTCGATTAATTGATATAATACAAAATGAAGTAAAATGTGAGAGGAACTGAATGAAATCAATGGATTAGATACAGTCGATTGATTTGTTTGTTTTTATCTGTGATGCTTTTAAATTTCTTGAATATGTTGCAGTTTGGTTGTGACTGTTACGATTAGTTGATTTTTCTCTCGATTGGGAATTTTTCTCGATTGGCAATGAAATTGTTGCAAGTAGTCATGGTGGCCAGCCAAATCACACGTTTTATAATTGCTGTTGAATGGTTTTTGCTGATTACAAGTTAAATTCGGACGTTTTCATTTGCAGATTGGTTCAACCTCGTCGACGGAAAGTCATCGTGGCTTCGGATTCGCAGATTTCATCAACAAAGCGGATGCGGCCAGAGCATTCGATGCGCTTGTTCATTCGACACATTTGTACGGTCGTCGATTGGTATTGGAATGGGCGAAGCAGGACGAGTCGATTGAGGAACTTCGCGATAAGGCGCTATCGAATATCAGGTTCATTGATATCTTATTCCTTCATATCCCTAGCGATTTATGGCGCTGATGGCTTTTGCTTGGTTAGCAATGCTAAGTCTTTGAAGCGTAACTGATATAATGTACAGTAGGTTCAGTGAGGTCCATTGTGTATTTCAGCTTTATTATTGTCTATTGATGCATTCGGATAGCGATTGCAATAAGAAATGAGTTTTAATCATGAATATATTTGATGAAGTTAAAGCGTATGACAAAAAATAAAGTGAA